ACCGGATTCGGCCACAGAGACGACGGGGAGTCGGCCACAGAGACGACTATGTGAAGCTTCACAACAGGTCGATGTGACTGGGAGACTTTTCGATGTGACTAGGAGGACCTGAACGAAGTCCACCCCTGGAAGCTTCAACCCATGTCTCAAGCAAGGGGATCCAGGGTGAATCCTTTTTGTCCTTTTCTGGGTTTGGTCGATTGGTCTATGATGGTCTATGTGTTGTCTCACGTGCCTTGAACACCTCTGGATTTTGCAAAGCTCAAAGACTCAAAAGAAGCCCGCCATACAACAACCTGCCTGAGATGTTGGACGAGTTCGAGTCATTGCTCAGGTTCTCAGTGACATTGGAATCATTCGAGTCGTTCGACATGTTGTCCAGCGACATGTTTCCGCTTGACGTGGGGAGAAACTCGATGCAAATCTTCTCGCTCCTCTGCCAATACTCCCACTGCACCGACAAGGAGGGCGGCACATCACTGGAGTTGATGCATTGCACCGCCGGGAAGACATCGACAGCCATCTCCACTTCCTCGTAGTTGGAAATATTGAAGTTCTTCAGCGACTTGGGCGAGATCTGAAGAAGCGGTGTTTCCACATGGAAGACCTTAGACTGCGCCGAGGCGCGGGCGAGCCGCAGTTCTGCCGCGAGGAAGCCGCGTCAACGGCGCGGCCGTGCCGAACGGCTTCCAGGTCTAAGAGGCACAGTTCTAAGATGAAGCGCCCATGTTTTTTCACCGAATCCTTTGAAACAAACAAAAAGCACATCACACATCACATATCACAAACATCACAGTTCAAACCATCACCGGTTTCTTCGTTTCACGTCCTCAGCTTCATGTCCACACTCACGCCAAGTCACCGTGACCTCCACACTCACGTCCTCAGCTTCTGCTTGCCAGTTGCTGATCGAGGCCATGACTTCAATCTCTAAGCCATCCTACGAGCGATCACAACGCCCGAGCTGCAAACACCAGTCACACAGCAGGCTTGGTTCTGGCAGTTTGGTCTTTCCAAACGTTTGAAGGTTGGGGTTCGACCTTCGTTAAAAGGCTTGGAGTTCGACCTTCGTCGGGTTCCGTGCCGGGCCACGTCCATTTCTGAGACTTCAGAGACATCGACGTCGACTTGAAGTGTTCCAAACTGGAAGATCTCCGGCGGAATCTCAAGGACTTGTAGCATCAGCTCGTTGGCCTCGTCCAAGGTCGGCTGCAGCACGCTTTGCAACGCCGGGTCAGTGTGATTGCCCAGCTGCCAGTGGATCACTGGCGCACCTGGGCGAAGCGGATCTTGGTAGTCTCTGGCGACACAGACCCGGGAAACAGGGAAACAACTAGAGGATGGTACCTCAAGCTTGCTAAACTTTTAATGGGCTTTGCGTGGTGGCAACAAGAAAACAGCCGTGCTTCCCAAAATCAACCTGAGAATCTCCACTGTAATCCAACATGTTGTCATTTCTCCATGGTGTGCCACGGCACGTCGCGCAAAGCCTGTGGAGGCTGCAAGTGAGAACCTCCCCACTGAACAAGCTTGAAATGCATCCGCTGCCAACAAAACCTGACGAAAGTCGGTCAAGTCGGCCCGTTCGTCAGAAGTCGGTCGTCGTTTTTCCTCTGGGGAAGGGATGCAAGGGCGGCATCAAAACGGTCACTCGAAGGCAGGCAAAGCTTGTCTTAGCTAGGGCACCTGAAAGAGAAGTCTCTACGTGTCTGTTTCTTTACATGACCTGCTTGAAAGGTTAACTATACGCTACAAATAGCTATACACGAAGCTGGTGCTCCAAAAAGCATCCAAAATATTCCAAAATAAGACAGCCGCGAAAAGCAATTAAAACCTCCATCTTCCCAAATCGGGCCACCGCGCGCAGTGGCACAAGAGGAGCTTTGGTGATGACAACGGCCGACAGCTCCGTGGGCTCTACGACAATGAAGCCATGCGGAAGAAGCACTCCAAACTTCATCATCACGAAGTCTCCCACCACCAGTCGCGTCAGCTTCCCCAAGGCCACCTTTTTTTACCGCTTCCGCAGGTAGAGTGGGAAAACAGATGGAAAAGATGTTATTTGAAAACACGGTGGAGGTGGATCTGTTGTCTCAGAATATGTGTGTTTCCCCTAAAAAGAAACCTGCTATCGTGAGTTCTAGAGAGTATCCGACACCACCAAACCTGTGACCGAACGACACCGGTTCGTGCCTGAAGGCTTCTCTGGTCATCGGACAACGTACAGCTCGGCTCCACTCCAAAGCTTTTGACCTAACGGTGGCCAACGGTGGGTCCGACGGGTCCAGACGGGCTGCGGACTCTTCGGTGCCAAGAGTCCGAGTCCTCTTCCCACAAATCATCGCAACTCCAGGTGTCGTTCTCATTGGCAAGCCTCAGGGTGTGTGAAGGCCCGTTATGAGTTAGGACCGGTCCTCGTTCCACTCACGGCCTGGTTCCGGCAGCGAACTCGGCCGAGACTACGAGACCGAGGTTGAACGCGGCCGAATGCAACAGTGTGTTCCTAGAGCCCAAACGTGACCTCCTTTTTGATAGGAAATGGCCCAATTTTGGATAGTTGATCCTCCAAAACCGGGGTCACTCAGGTTCTTGGCCAAGGTCGAGATCCCCGCTGTGCTCTTCGTGTCAACTAAGGTCCCGTGCTCTTGACTCACACCAAAACCGAATGCGCACGGCGCCAAATTCACCGAACATTCCTGCCTTGCTGGGTAGTTAAAGATGACGTTGAGATGACTGGGAAAGACTTGGGCCTCATCGATGTAGAGACGATAGACCTGGAGGCAAGAGAATTATGAGCCTCAAACTGCGCATCTACGTGGTTTTCATCGAAAGGAAGCTTACCCTTTGCCACAAATCTGACCTGCCAAACTGGAAGATTACGGTGTTGAAAACCATTGGCAACGCTGATCACACTCACTTCTCGCCACACTTCTCGCCCACTTCAGCAAGACCGAGTCAGCGGACCCTGGTCGTCGTGGTCGTGGTCGAAATGGTGGAGGTAACGCTGCTGCTGGTCCCTGTGGAGCTGGTAAGCCTGAGATGGCCCAAACTCTCGAGCAAATGCTGCCAAGTCCACTCTCATGGCTTCTCTCCCCACGTCACGGAAGATTTTGAAAGCGTCATGCACAAGCTGAAATCAGGAGCCCATTCCTTCTCAGATCCTACTGTCTACGGTGTTTGTGGTGAGTTCACCCCGTTCCTTACTGCGTCAACTACGCAGCTTTCCTCAGCTTCCGTGACAACTAGTGTCCAAAAAGAAGTAGGCCTCCCGAATTTAAGACACATGGAAGGTGAAACCAAAGAAAACAAACAACACGAGCTGTTCCCATTCATTTCAAGCTTGATAAAGGAAAAATATGGAGAAGGGCAGCTGATTTTGCATTGGCTGTTCAATCGGCTTGCGAGTTCCATCTACCAATTTGCTTCACCCCGCCCCTCCACGTCCTCTACCCACCTCTTCGAATCCGGATCAACCCCCAAGGGCATCGGGTCTTTGATCAAGTGGAAGATGCTTTGGACATCATGAGAGTCTTTAATTTTACTATACAGTATTTTATATAAGTGAGGCCAGTAAGGTCTCAATGTGACAAAACATGAGTCAAAATATCCTCCCCTTCCAATCAGCTTCTTGATTTGGAGAACAAGGGCGACCACTTGGGTCATGGCGCCTTGGTTGACACTTTAAAAGGAGTGAAAAGACTTTGGTCGTACCGTACCACAACCAAATCCGGTGCTCCTCATGAGCCCCTTACACTCCGAACTCACATGGGGGGCTCGTGAATGGCATGGCTCCGGAAGACCATCTTCCTCCACAAGTCACTTCTGTCAGGCCACGTGGAGGTCGCAGTGGTCGGGGTCGTTGTAGTCACCGTAAGACTTGTGTTGGTACGAGATGTGGTCGTCCCTGTGGTGGTGGTGAAGTTCGAGGTGGTGCTTAAGGTCAATGAAGACGTGCTGGAGGATGTGGTGCTCGTCATGCTGCTGGTGGATGATGAGCCTGTGGTCGTCGTTTCGGTAGTGGAGGTGGTGTTGCTAGATGTTGTTGTGCTTGACATGGTGAGAGTCGTTGTGGTGCTCGAACTTGAGGTGGCACTACTTGTCGTGAAACTGCTAGAGAGCGTGGACGTTGTAGTTGTTGAATTCTCGTTGTCCTCAATGGTCCGTGCGCGGACAAAAAAAGAGGCGTCCACATCAACAGTAGCGTGTGTGAGGCTGAACCTCAAGATATACCTAGCTAAACCAGGAAGTTGATGGATCAACGGTGGAAACCTGTTGGCGAACTTCGAGACGACCGTTGCAACGTTTTAATGCAGCACCAAGATCGGCTAGCCCAAGAGGAGCACTCATCAACAACACCTCGGTACAATGCGGATCGGGGAACAAGCCTTGTCCAAGCTCAATGTCAACACAAACAGGAGATCTCCATGCATTTTTTGCATTCCACCCAAGGTGGTGACTGGCAAGCCACATACTGAGGCTCAAGCAAAAATGAACGGCCTCCCAAATGACGTTCTCATCTTTGACGTCCATGGCGGGTTGCCGAGTCTGTTTCAATGAGAGGCACCAAGTTACACTTGCAGTGGCTTCAGAGCAGCTTGGACAATCCTGGTTTACATTTGCACCCATACGAAGAGGGGATGTCTGCGTTTTGCACCATCAACTTCGAATCCTTTCTACATCTCCCTAACAAACAAAGGTATTGTACTGTACATGCTAGCCATACCCGTACACATTCCTGCAAGGTTGTTGCTTGTATCTTAACAAACTGACAAATGTGTATAGGTCACTGCATGTTCAAGCTATCCGTTCTCCATTCAGCTTGTTTTCCTGTCATGTAAAAAACATACATGATTCTTTAAGCTGAAACAGCGCAATCATGCAGTCAGACACGCGGATGTGCGCTTTAGGCTTTGATTTGTCAGATTCTGCCAGTCACTGAACTCCTTGTAGCAGATTCTGCAGAAGACTACACATGTGGACTTATCCAAATCTGCAGCACGTCTTCACATCTCACATCCCCAGCTTGACCCGCACTGAATTGTTTGCTCGGAAAAATGCTCTATGTACATGGCGCCACCGGACCGTCTCTCCGTCGCTCTCCTCCGCAGTCAGCCGCGCGTCAACCGCCGTGCTCGGCCCTTCGGTAGGCCAAGGACAGAAGTGTCTCCCGCAGCGGGGCGCAGGCGCAGATCCAAGCAGAAGATGCCACCTGGGGCGCTTGGATCCAACCCGAGCAGAAGACGGTGGGCGATCGTACATGACGATCCATGGAGCTTTGGGAGAAGGTGGGGTCAAAAAGCGCCAGCAACGTGATAGATGGCCGAAGGGAAACCGCCTGGTTGCTCTTAAGACATCCATTGCGAGGGGGGAAACAACATGGAATCTTCACCGAAACAAAGCCCAAAATGGTTCACCGAAAGGCATCGATAGCTCGACTCAGAGCCCCCGCCGAAGGAGTAAGTCAACCTTTTTGGGCGCTTTCAGCCAACAATCAATGACGATGAGGATGACTCTGAGGAAATGTAAATGACGACGACGATGATGATCATCTATTATCATGATGATGTAGCTAATCACATCCCTCTTCCATTTCCAGCCTTACCGCAATAAAAATAGTCAATGTCATGTGTCTGAGGTTCCTGCTCCTGACACGGCCATGGCCAGCATGCCCCACACGAACGCCTGGAAACGAGAGACCCGTTTTGGGGGACGATGAAGGCGCCCGACAGCCAAACACATCCAATGTAGACCCGCAAATCCTGCAAGACTGAGGATGGCCAATCCCTATTTATAAATGATATAGAGCACCACCACTTGGGGTTTTGAGCCAAGAGTCATTGTGGGGGATGTAGACTTACGTGCAGTACCATCAACCAAGCTGTCCCAAGTGTTGAATTTGAGAACAATCATGGCAATGCAATAGACTAAAGGGCTAAACTCTTTTCTTGGCACTTGTACCCAACCCATCAAATAGCTAGCTTGCCCAACCGTTACACCCACCCATCAAACAAATTGAAACCACCAAACCCTTTGATGTTGGCCTCTGGCTCCGCCGCCACAAGACAGGCCGCGCCCAGTGCGTGCGCTGCCGCCCCTGTGGCAATGCCACGGGCTACCTGGGGCAGTTGTGTAAGAACTTGTCATCTCAACATGATTCGAATGGGGAGAAACCACGCTTGGAGGCCATCGCTAGTGGTGTTTTTTTTTTCTCTCTCTCTCTCTCTCTACTAACAGTGGTCTGCCCATGGCGTGAACTTGTGCAACCTGGGTGATGTTGCACCAAACATCGCCACTTACTTGGCCTTTTGTTGGGCTTCTGATCACCCAAATCCTGGACACTCGACACTGGTCCAACCGGAGATCCGGTAGTGGACACTGGTCATCGGTGGGATAGCCCATAGCTTCAAGTAGATAAAACTATAGGCATTAAAGAAACAAATACATGAACAGACACCAAGAAAATTGTATTTCATTGGCTTTTTGCAATAGTTCTTTGTTGATTACTCCAACTCGGATTTTGTTTCGGACCCCCCCAAATCCCACACCTACGTTCTTCCACCACTTCGATTCGCCCAGCGACCGGATCCAGATGCGCGTGACACGCCGCGGAGGACAGCAAACGTTGCGAGAAGCCAAACCTCGCGAGGAAGACGAGAGAAGCCGTGGATCCACCCGATTTTTTTTGGAAGAACATCGGATGGTTACATGAAGGAGGCCTGAAAACTGGTGTGTGAGTGAGAGGTCTGCTTCCAAATGACTGGAAGTCCGTACTAGAGCTGGAGACTCAGACAAACTGCTGGTTTGTTGGATGGAAACACATTCAAAAAAAAGCTGGTTGACGGATGTGTTTTCAGAACCATTCGCGTCTGTGAAATCTGATCAATGTCTTCTCAAACAGTTCATCCGGCCCTTACAGTACGATCCTCAAGGCCCCGACCCGATGAAGCCCGAAAGGCCTGGCTCGCGGCCGCGGACCGTTGGACCGTTGCAAAGCCGATGTCAAACGAGGTGAGCCACGAATTGGTGGACTGCTGGAAGAAACCGGGAAGAAACCAGGACACAAGCCAACCAAACATGTAGACTCTTTGTCAAATCTTCTCCCTGACTTCTCCTCTCTCTCTCTCTCTCTCTCTTTTGGAGCAGTACAGTATAGTTTTGTGCCATTTTTGTGCCTGCACACAGCGCAACGAGAGCCACATTGTTTTCAGCACCACTTTCTTCACAGAGTCGAGCGTAGGTGGGCAGGGCCATCGGAATCGTCACACACCTCGCGACGGCGTGCGACCGGAAGCCGACCGGGGGCGGCAGTGCCAGGAGATTCGCCGCTTCACCGGTGGGCGCAGAAGCGGAAGTCTGAAGCCAGTGAGGGTCCATGACGCGTTCTTTGAGTTGTCGTTCTTTGAGGAATTCCCAAAGAAATTCCTGGAAATTCTCAGAACTCGTCGGTGCGCCGGCGGTGCCTCATGGTCGCAGCCAGGGTGACTTCGGGCGAAATGCCCAGAAGAGGACCCATGACCACCGTTCCCACGATGTTGCTCAGTGACACCTTGGACGAAGCATCGACGACGGACGTGTCGCATGACACGTGTCGCGTGGGTCGCGGGGGGCCTGGCACCAGCGGAGCGATCAGAGGCGCCGTACTGTCTAGGTTAGCCAGAGCAATGCAGAGACAATTATGGGTGTCAGGAGTCAAATCGAACAAGCCATGGTCTTTGGAGCGATGACAAACCATTCACACTTTCGGATGCTTCCCTTGAAGGCGCTTTGACTCACCAGCAAATTGTTGTGTCCATCCAGGAAACGAATCCATCAAAAAGGTGATCCACTAGGTGATCTTGTTCTGTTCCTTGTCCCTCCATCTGGTATGAAATACATGGAGGACTTGGGGACGAGTTCGGCCAGCTTCTAAGATGGATTTTTTGAGACGAACATCCAGTCCTCCACCTCCCAAGCCGGATGCCGGATTTCCTCAAGCCGTGGGGCCACAGCACAGCTGAGGAACAGCACCTTGCTGAGGGCCACAATGCGAGCGCCTGGGAGAGTCTGAAGAAGAGAAATCTGCAGACAGTCTCAAAAGTGACCCGACCCCCATCAGAGCTTTCAACAATCAGTGCTGTTGGCCAATAATGTGCGGCTACCATTTTTTACTGTGCTGTTCACGATCGATCTTCTCTACCAATCCGAATAAAAACCCCACATGTCAAGCCTTTTAAAGCTAAGCTTTATGTGAGTTTCCTCAAAACCCTCTACGTGCGGCCACCCTGAAACAATCGCGCCCAGCTCCTTTTGCTCGATGCACGGCAGTGTCTCGCACCGTGGAACCTTTTTTCATGGTCAGAACTTGCTCATATTTTTTGTGCCTCACTCACACTCACTCACTCACTCTCACTCTCACTCTCACTCACACCCACCCACTCTCCTCCTCTCACTCACACCCACCCACTCTCACTCTCACTCTCGCTCACTCACTCACTCACTCACTCTCACTCTCACTCACACTCACTCTCACTCCTCTCACTCTCACTCTCACTCTCGCTCTCACTCACACTCACACTCACTCTCACTCTCACTCTCACTCACACCCACTCTCACTCATACTCACTCTCACTCACCCCCACTCTCACTCA